ATGGCATACGCTGATCGAGTTTGACGACGCCCTCCGGCTTCCTCCTCCTTTTTTTTGTTGTTTTTTTTCTTAATGCCTCAGGCAAACTTCTTCTTCTTTTTCATATGAGTCATATTTATTATTTACATAAAAAAAACAAAAAACAAATCCGAGCAGTCCCGCCTCCCATTCAGGAAACTGTCAACGCCATCCCGACGCAATCATCCCGACCCAATCAACCCGACGCAATCATCCCGACCCAATCAACCCGACGCAATCAACCCGACCCAATCAACCCGACCCAATCATCCCGACGGAATTATCCCGACACAATCATCCCGACGCACTCATCACGACGCAATTATCCCGACGCAATTATCCCGACGCAATCATCCTGTCCTCCCAAGAAAACGAAACAGAGAATAGAAGAGAAGAAAAGCCGGGGTTAAAAAACGACGAGTGCAGAACAGAGGGAAAAAGGGAGAAAAAAAGGACAAGGAGAAAAAAAATTCTTCTTTTCAGAGGATAAGGAAATAACAAAGAGAAAAACGGGACGAGAAAAAAAAAAAATAAGTGGGGGGAAAAAAAAGAGGGACACTTAAAAAAAAAAAAAAAAGAGAACCGTCTTCCCACAACATACCCCAACAAGTGGCCTTCGACCTGCACCTCCAGTTTCCCACTTACAAGGTGGAAAAGCCGCCGCCGCCGCCGCTGACGTCTCACCCCCTCGTTCGATTGATATACCTGCACCGATTTGTCACATCCTGATTCGAATGACCCCGCTGCTGACGTGTCACATCCTGATTCGACTGATCCCGCTGCTGACGTGTCACATCCTGTTTCGACAGCTCCCTCTACTGACGTGTTACCTCCTCTTTCTACCGATCTCGATGCCGACGAGTCATCTCTCTCTCTCTCTCTCTCTCTCTCTCTCTCTCTCTCTCTCTCTCTCTCTCTCTCTCTCGCTCGCTCTCTCCCCACCGTCTTAGCTCCTCCTCTCTTTGAGGTGAACAGGCAATCAATCACGTAGTCTAGTTTCCTCTTCTGGCCGCCGGTAAATGGCCCAACTTGTGACTAATTAATTGCCTTTAATTCATTGATTGATTGATCCTTCTTTCCACTCTTGACAGCGATCACTTTCACAGAGACAAGCCACTCACCAACTGCCACGTGTCCTTCTACCTGTACATCTGGCCTCCCCCATTGATATTTATACCCATACAAACCTGATACCCACAACCCCCCACACTCTGCTCTCGTTAGTCACTTCCGTAGGGTAGGCTC